AACAGTACTTATCAGAAAAATACTAGAACAAGACATACCAGAATATTAATGGTGTGTTAATGTGGCAGTATTATGCGTTTCTTCTTACCTCTATTGTTTTTTCCAAATTTCTATTATTTTATACTTTCATTATAGAATAAAACTGAGCATAATGAAATATGTGATTCCCACTGTAATCCCAGCTAATCTGCAGTGTGTAAGAAGCAGAAGAGGAGTGTGTTGCTCACCTCTCGTTCGTCCATATTCAGCCACTGCTTTGGATCTTCCTCGGTAGCCAGGAAGGCTATCAATTCCAAGGCAGTGAGACGAGTCTGACGTCGGGATGAGACAAATATTAAAACAGGCTTGGCCGGAGAATGGCTTCTAATTGCTGTTGAAAAGTTGTGGAAAATGAAATTACAAGCCTTTTAACAATAGAATATAAATTTCAACAGGCTATCACATGGATATATGAAAACCAATGACGCAAAAGACTTAGGTGAATTTTCAGTTTGGTTGTAAAATTTAGTGTTATTCCAGGTACTACAACATGGATCTGGCAGCATATTGCACAAATGATAGGAAAGGAAGTTGAGAGGCCCTCCCGATGACATACTGCCTCAGAAAGAAAAAAGATTTAATCATGTCTGCTCCGAGTTCCATTCTGAAAGAAGAAGAAACTTCAAGGCTGCGAGGCTCTGTTAAGAGCTCTACCTGGACACTGACTTTCAGGCTGAGTCCTACGTTATGCTTCGTAGATGTTTTGCTTGCCTAAGCATCAGGTTCTAGTTCACTAGTCCTGGGGTCTGGTGAGAGAGTCAAGTCCCACAGGGTGAAGAAAAATGCCTAAGATGGTTATGTGAATTAGTTTGATTTAAACATTCCACATTGTATACCAAATCATCACACTGTACCCCATAAATGTATAGTTATGATTTAATAAAAATTAAGTTAAAAGAAAGACAAATGCCCAAGAAAGACCAGAACAACTTCTCTTTATTTTTTTCCTGTTATCAATAGATGGAAACATTAGGAGAGTTTATGATAATAAACAGGCTGAGAGATAAAACCCGATGAACTCTTTCCTTCTGGTTTTCTAAAAACACATGTATGAGGTTTCAAGAGGGAAGATAAGAGAATGTGAAGAGGGCTGAGGAGAACACCACGACTGAGGTAATGCACGTGGTGATCAGCAGAAGACAGGTACTTTGAAACCTCAGTAACAAGGCTGAGGAAATTTGTAAGTCAAATCTTTAAAATTAATTACTTGAAGAGCCGTACAAATCAACTGGCCTCACGAAAGTGAGGTTTCTTTGGTATACATAGGAGACATATCTCTGATAGGATGCTGCAAATACAAAAAATATTTACGTTGATAATAACTCTCTTAAAAGCCAGAGATATTTAAAACATTTATATAAAAAAGTTTAACCTGCTTGTTATTGCTTGGAATGTGAGCTGTAGAATTTGTTTTTATAGGCCGGGAAACAAGGTTTATAATGGAAATGTTGACGTGACCTTGACATTATTTATAACCTAACTGCAAGAAATAAAGCTATCACAAAATCATATTTCTGAACTCAAAGAAATATAGTAATCACTACAGGTATAATAAATACTTTATAAGGTTAGCTGTTGTGCTGATATCGCATCCAAAGAATATAAGTATTTCAGTTATTTACTATTGATGTACATAACACAAAATGCTTCATTTCCATCAATGCTATGCAATCAGTCATTCCTTAGTTATAAGCAATTTCAACATGAATAGTATGAAAAATAAACTCATTTATCTTATATTTCACTCTTTTACCATTTATCAGAATATTATAATGTAAAGGATAAAGCTTTGATAAATCATATTAGAAATATAATGTTTAAAATACACATATTAATACAATATTGGTATCATTTATGCACATAAATATGAATAGATCTCTGTCTCTTTTTTTGAAACTGAACATTTAATGGATTTTTTGCTGCTGCAAGAACAGGTGTGGCTGAACAGCTCATGGCAGATTTATTGTTCATTAGTGATTTTGTACAATGCTTCTGTGGAGGTGTAAATAATCTGAACTGCCAAGATTGGTCTCTAGTTCACAATCAATACTTTGCTTCTGTCATAAGGCTAATTACAGTAGCTAAAAAGTCACCTCACAACTGTCACCTCACAATCAACAGCAGTTCACATTTGAGAATTTATTTTAGAGGTTATTTTTAATTGATACAATAAATATTCCTTATGCAGCCTAAATAAAACATGTTTCAATAAAATAGGAGTGTTATTCTTAAATCTTTCCCGTTTGCCTAATTTGTTAGAAAAGGAAAAATGAAAAACACGACACACAAAAAGAAGCACGTACCAAAGTACTAAAATTTCTAAGTTTTATGGTTTCTCATAAAAATTAAGGTTGTGTGATGTTTTTGACTTGTAATTCCTATTTATCATTTGTTCAAGCTACTGACTACCATAAGAAAACTCTTTAATTGATTAATATTAAGATTAATTTGATCACTTTTTAAATTACGATTTTATCACAAACATCTTATCATTTGTGAAATCTGTCTAATTTTCAGTAGGCTATTTAACATATCTTCCCTAACAGTTGAGATAAATAGCGTTAGATAGCTTTGGGTATTTGTAGAAGTTGGACCAGAAGTTGGATGACTCTTCCAAAGAAACCCAAACCATTTCTTTTTTCTTTTTTTGAGGCAGAGTCTCACTCTGTTGCCTAGGCTAGAGTGCCATGGTCTCAGGCTTGTTCACAGCAACCTCAGAATCCTGGGTTCAAGGGATCCTTCTATCTCACCCGCCTGAGTAGCTGGGACTATAGGTGCTCATCACGATGTCTGGCTAATTTTTCTATTTTTAGTAGAGACAGGGTCTTACTCTTGTTCAGGTTGGTCTTAAACTCCTGAGCTCAAGCAATCCTCCCACCTAGGCCTCCCAGAGCACTAGAATGACAGCTGTGAGCTACTGTGTTCAGCCAAAACCAAACCACTTCACCAAAACCAAATGCACTTGATAGCTACAATAAAAAAATGGTTATCACTTCATTCCAAGAATCTGAAGCTTACCCTGAAATGCAGGTTTGTTCATACTTGCCATACGAGGACAGTAATGTTGACCTGGGAAGCCTTGAATGTGAACTTCCAAGGGAACTGGGCGTACTGATGGTCGGAAGTTGAACAAACCCATCTAGAGTAAATGTGAGAAACCATTTTTAATTTTCATATTTAAGTATATAATGTTATGTTACCTCTTTCATACGGCCACTTAAGTCACAGTACTAAACAATTTACCAGTCTTCTTCATACCTGCTTAATATTGAGCCAGTCAGCAAGGTCTCTGGCATTGGCTAATGCAGTAGACAGTCCAACTATTCTAACAGGCTTTTCTGTGTGTGATGAGATAAAATTTGTTCGAGATACAATGACCTCGAGAACAGGGCCTCTTTCCTCCCCTAGGAAACAGAAACAATAAATGTTAACAAATCTGTTTATTAGTAGATACTGGCTGTTGCAATTA